AAGACATGTGGTCAAGATGCCTTCTCTTGCTTTAGAGAAGTGTTCAGTCTCCACTACCCACTGGTGCTCATCACAGTACCCCACTGTCACTGAAGGGGGACAACAACCCACGCAGGGCTTGTCACCAGTCTTAACCCAGGGTTTTCTTCACCTGAAGATTACAGAAAACATTCTTTGACCACAATTTACAAAAGCTGGAACAATGGGAAGCCTGAGAGACCAGGAAGAAAGACGAAGACTAAAGCCATGCAGAGATAAGACAAGAGTAACTCCTAGTGACCAGAGTGGCCGGCTCTCTCATCGTCCCTGACATCCGACTGCAGCTGCTCTGGCCCAGTGGCTCTCACGCTGGGTCTGTAGGCCGTGCGATGGTCCTTCTTAAGCCAACTTCAGTTTCCATCAGTCCTGACAAAATCACCTTGTCTCACACACATACACAGACAACTAGCTTAAGTACAAACAAGGTCCAGTCCCACTGAGCCCGAAGAATCACACTTTTGGAATACCTAGTGACTTGTATGTTCATCTCATTTCATTTCTTCTAATTTCCCCTTATTTTTATATAGGCAAAAATACAATAGTCAAATGCATACAATGCTCTACAAAATCGATGATAGTCCCACAACTGAATTGTTGACTGCACGGTACCATCATGCCGCAGTTCAAATTATTGTCAGATGACATATAAGATACTAAACTGAGAGAAAGAAATGGTATTTAATGGTACAGGCATAGAGCATATGAAAGATCACATGAGTGAAGTCCTTTAATAGTAGTTTTTGTACTGAGAAGAAAATAGGTAAACTTTTTTGCAACCTACCAGAAGAAAAGTGATGGGATCTAAAACTTAGAGAATGAGAGCGGAAGACATTTGTTTCAGTATTACAAGTCTTATATTGATATTATTTATAATTTAGCCCCTTATGTTATTTTTATGGTTGAAAATCTGAGGAAAAATTGTCACCGAAATACCTATTTATCAGTAACTAGATATTTGTATGAACATACGGCACACTCTGGTTTGGAAACATATTTCAGGTGCCTGTTAGTCACATCAAGCGAGTTGAGTTGTCAGTTTATTATCTGGAGCTCACAAGAGAAGGCTGGCCAGACATTCAAACCTGGGGACCCACAGCGCCCGGTGGGTAAAGCCCTGTGGCTGAACAAGCCTGGGGAGGAGGAAAGGGAGGAAAGGACCAAGAGATGCAGCCAGTGCGATGAGGAAGAGAACCAAGAGAGCTCAGAGCCACTGAGCCCACGGGGTCCAAGGCCAGGACCGTAAACCATGCTGGATGCTCGTGTGAGGCCACTACACGAACGTTCAGGAACGGTTTCCCTGGACCTTCTATTCGGGGGGAGAAATTCTACCAGAACTTAATACTTCTGAATTCTATAATCAGATTTTGGGGGGAAGTTACTTTATCTCCAGAGTCCTTAATGATTTTCTGGCTGAAGAAGTAACAGTGACTCAGGCTCCACGGGAGAAGCAGCGCCTGGACGAGGCGACACTCCACCTGACTTCAGCCACCACCCGCGCCTCCCCGGACCCCTGACACTGGCAGGCCACGGGAGGCAACCCGGCCAGCTCTGCCCCAGCGGTCCAGGGAAATGTCACTTAAAATGCATGCTGCTTTGTCCCATACACCGTGCAACTTACAAAAAATAATTAAGAGGGCTGAAGAGCAGAAAACGTCACTTCATGCATCCAAAAGATGTTACATGAATCCTTACCTGGGCAGTGACTGGATCAAAACAGAACTTTAAAAAAGCACAACTATAATTCTAGGTGTAATTCCGGCTCAAAGTCCAGCAGAGCCATCAGTCAATCCTTCTTAGATTGAAAGGTTAACATCAAAACATTCTCGGCTGCTACTGGCTGTGGTGAAATAGACACTCCGAGTATTTGCTAGCTGGCATGAAAACTGGTACAACACTTTTGGAAAGCATTTGGCAATATGATTCAAGAGCTTTTAAAACTGTTTCTATTTCTTCAGAGATCTAATACTATTTCTGGAAATCTAAAGGAATTAGTCTGCAATTAGGAGGGGGAAAAAACCCTTTGGGTTCATGAAAGCATTACTCATTATACAAAATCACTTTAAACCATGTAAATAGCCATTTAAAAGAAAATAGGTAAATTACAGTTAAATATGCAACTAATAAAATTCTGAGCAATTTTTAAAAGCATTGAAAATGCAAAACATACCATGTGAACAAGGCAAAAAATGCACAGAATGTAATCAAATGCATATAGAAATACACGAAAATAAAACAAGGAAATGTTTTGGTTTTTTTTTAAGATGGTGCAACTGTGAAGAGCAATGAAAAGCAAACTGACTATGGAGTTACTCTGGTTGCACAAGACATGAACATATAAATTCAGGGAAGATCAAGGTCCCAGGCTCTCAAGGCAGAGGATCTACAAGAAGGGGGTAGGGGCTGGGAGCAGGGTGGAGTTCTTTAGTTAAAAATGTCAATAGAGATACAGTGCCTAGCAGAAAGAAAGCAGAGTTAGTAAGCAAAAAAACCCATCATTTTTCATTAACTGCAAGTTCAAATGATACCTTGTACTGTTTTTTTCTCCCTTTCATTCCTGCCTCCTGTTCTTTGTTCTAAATCGTCATTACTACAACTAACTCCAAATTATCCATGGAAAAAAGGAAGAGCATGAATTTAGAAAGTACTAAGCAGATGATCCAATGCCAATTGGCTTCAGACTTCCAATGGTGTCCCATTACAATTCTCTAATAACACTATGTACTTTCCTATATATTTCTATTAAACTACCAGAAAATAATTTGCATTCTCCGTACACTCTAAGGACTAGCATGGAAAACGATCCAGAAACAAACTGAAAAAGGTGTTAAATCCTTTCTATATGATGAACCATATGGACATCATTTCATATACAATTAACCATAATGTAAAATACAAACTGTATCCTCTTAAAATATTTAGAAAACTGTCTAAAATAATGCAGGGATTTATGGCCAAATGAAATTCATTAAAAGTTCAAAACCCAGTTAAAGTCTGTTACCTTTACTTGACAAAGCTACAAAATTCTCTCTCTCTCTCTCTCTCTCTCTCTCTCACTCTTTTTTAATCGCTGCTGTTACCACTAAACAGAAAAAGTAATTCCAAAAGAGAACAACATAACGTGGTGGCTGAGAATTCTGCTGCCACTCACGTGACCAGTGTGTGTGTGTGTGTTCCTCTTAGCCTTCTCATTTGGAACATAACAAAAGTACTTACCTTAGAAGCCTGTTACGAAGATTGAGTGAGTTAATTTGCCTAAAGCATTTCGAAGACAGGCGGCCTGGACTAAGTTACTAAACAGGTGCGGAAGGCGTCATTCTGGAGCTGGGCAGAGGTGATGGCTACACAGCAATGTCAATGCCCTTAACGTCACGGCACTGGACACTTACAAACGGTTAAGACGGTAAATGTTCTATTAGATACGTCATCCACTTGCTATTAAAACATTTTAAGTTCTCCTGGAAGAAAGTAAGTTATCGGATTCTGCATAAGACTCTTTATAAAAATAATCTTCATCGATTAAGGAATACTGGGTCCATACTTTCCTAAATAAATTTCAAAAATAGTATGTTGTTCTCTGATGTTCAAATTATTTAACTTGAATTTTCAAACAAAAATTTACTCGTGGGAAGTTGGCAATATCACCCCTCTTACAATTACAAAATAAAATTAGTGCTCTAACCTAAAAGAATTTGGAAACAGATCTGGAAAACCCTTTCTCTGAACACAAACATTTTAGTGTACCTTCTACATCAGAACAGAAGGGCTTCACAGACCTTAAGTGTAACCAATTATAAAAAGCAACAAAAATGTTTAAATGCCCGTTTTAAAGTAAAACCTTGCAAAAGAGCCCTAAACCACTTCTCTCAGATTACAAAATGAGCGTGTGGTGAAAGCGGACACAGAATACCAATTTACTATACCCTATCCTGACTGACAATGTTTGTTGCATAGCAACAGGATTCTGCAGTCTGAAACAGCACAGAACTCCTTTTCTTGATTTGCCAGGCCACAATTAACCCCATCAAGGCTGAGAAAATATGCAAAAACAAATTTGCATAGGCTAATCCTAACATCAGAAGCCTAACGATATAATTTCTAAAACCATCAAATCACAAACCCAAATTCCAGCCTATTTACAACTTGAATTTATCCACTTTGCCTTCCATCTCAATGTTTCTTTATGTACTAGAAAAAACTCCTACTTAATTTTGGACACATTTCTTTTAAAAACATCATCTTCAAAAGATGGTTTTTATAAATTCCTACTTACTAGCATAACACATCTTTTGTTTCATAATTCCAAAAAGAAATAATCTGATCCTTTCAGCTAATTTTCTAAACATCGTAATTTATAGACAAGGGCTCTAACTTACTAATAATTAAAGTCTTCTCCCACTTAAAATTTATTTGAACTATTTTTATGGATTGCCTGTATAAGTAACCAGTAACATTTCACAAAACTTTTTTTTTAACAGAAATCTACTTCCTCTAAAGAACAACAACAAAAAAAGTTTGCAGTGATTCTTGCCACAGCTTTAAATACTTTCATTGCTTTGGGATTTCCCCCTTTCTTCTAAGAAAGTTAGATGGTTGCCAAGCCCCACCTAAGAAACAGATTAAGAACAGAGAAAATCAATTTACAGTAGTGGTTCTCAACCTTCTGGAAGATGAGAAGGCCCTTGAAATTCGTTCATTTGTACTTCTAACACATGTTGTCTGAGAAAATGTGATTTAAACCCACTTTGAACTTACTAGCTTTTCCCTTGATCTATCCATGACCATGACAGCAGGTACACATATACTTGACACATAACACATGCGAAGGCGGGCATCTTTGGGGAACACAGGGCTTCCAGGACTCTTTTACACAACCCCACAGCTGGCCCCAGAGCCCACACACTGTAAGTCATCAGTCCACCAGAAAAGTTCAAATCAATGGAAGACGTAGGTAAAGCACTTACAGGTACGCAAGTGAGACACTGCTGGGGTCAGGTCCAGGTTCCATCACTCACTAGCCTCGAATTCTCCAGCAGCAAGGGCATTAATGAGGATGATACCTAGCCTGCAGAGTCGCTGTAAGGGTTAGAAGAATAGTGTATAGAAGTATGTAGCACATTAAGTTTCATTCATTCACCTGCCATCCCAAGCCTTCTACAATCCAGCCCCGTCCGCGGCACTTCCCATCACTTCCTACACAAACTCCAAGGTGCGAGTGGAGGCGGCGTCGGAGGCGATGTTACGGGTGGAAAAGGACATTGGAGGGGCAGCGCTGAGAGGTCAAACAATTTGAGGCCACATGCAGTATTCAGACCGAGGTCTCCGGAATTCCACAGGACTTGATTTGAACCTCGCTGTCATCTACCGACCCTGTGAGTTTGGCCAAGTTACTTAAGCACTCTAATAAGCCTTGCTTTCCCCCACTACGAAAGCATCGATGACACCAATCTCATGGCTTATTCTAATCCATTAAATGAAATGACTCACGGGAAGCCCTTCCCAATTTGGCTGGCCCGTCTTTAAATGAGCAAGAAGTAATAGCTAGTATTTATCAAATATCTACTTGTTTTACATAAATAGAGAATATTAAAAGTTATCACATGTAACTGGCTAGCCCTCTAGGTATGTACCCAGCGTGACCAGAGGTTACCCAAAGATTAGCCTCAGAGACGCCGCGATCTCTGGCCAGGGCCTGGTGCCCTGGGCCAGCCGTGTGCTGGATCTTCAGGCACGGGCCCTCCGGATCCCTGAGGGAAACTGATCGGCTCTTTAGGACACAAAAGTTAATAACAAAAATATCTTTAAAAACAATAAGTGAAGTATAGTTTAAATATTTCCATGAAACTAACAATGAAATACAATGATTTCTCTGCAAGTGTTTTTTTTTTTTTCATTTCCCCATGTTAAAATTCGAAAACTGATATATATATCTCCAGGTAACTTAAAAATGGGCTTTTATCAACTGATTTGTCAGGGTAGATTCTCTTTCCTGAAACACTGTTTATAAATTATGGCTGGGTTTCCAGGTTAACGTCTAAGTAACCAAACAGATATAAGTCTTTCGTAATAAAAGCAGGAAACAGCACAAGTGTCACCTTTTTTTCATTTCAGCATGAAACATTTAAATGCTTTAACTACACTGAACATACACTTGGTTGTCACTACTGGGGGAAAGGCAAGGGGTGGGCTCCTAGCACCTAGTGAGTAGAGACCAGAGATACTAAACATCCCACAAGGACAGGACGGCCCCCGCCCCCCAACACAGAATTATCTGCCCCAGTATCAGTAGCACCAAGGCTGAGAGACCAGGATGCAGACGCAGGCCTTCATATTTCAGGGAAAAATACAATACTGCAAACTCTCTTTCAAAAGAACTCAGAATATCCAGTTTTCCCAGCATCAGCTGTTGAAAATACTATCCTTTCCCCACTGAACAATCCCGGCATCCTTGTCAAAAATCACCTGACCGCATACGTAAGTAAGCGTTTACTTCTGGATTCTCTTTTCCGCTCCACTGGTCTATTGGGCTATATTTGTGCCACTACCACACTCGTTTGATTGCTAGAGCTTTGTAATAAGTTTTGAAATCAGAAGTGTGAGTCCTCCAATTTTGTTCTTTTTAAAGATTATTCTGGCTATTCTGAGTCCTTTGAAATTCTCTATGAATTTTAGAATGGGTTCTTCTATTTCTGGGGGAAAATAAATGCTACTAGGCTTTTGACAAAGATTGTACAGAACATGTACATCACTTTTCAAGTTTTCCAATCCATGACCACAAAAGGTCTTTTCATTTATTTAGGTTTTCTTTAATTTATTTCAGCAGTATTTTATAACTTTTAGTATACAAGTCTTTCAACTCCTTGGTTAAATTTATTCCTAGGTATTTTATTTTTTAGAATGCCTAGAAACAGAAAAGAAGTCGTTCAGATTAAAAGTTAAAGAGAAAAGGCAAAGAACATTCAGGAGCTTGAACTTCATTTCCATAAATCCATAAATCCTCTAAATGCACTATGGCAAACTGCAGACCAACACAATGGGTTATTAAGCCCATTTTGCAGAGGAAGAAATTGAAATCTGGGACAGCCAATAAATAGAACAACTCTGAAGCCAATCATGATTCTATTAAACTTGACCATCTCTGTCCAGAATGAAAATACACCTTGAAAAATTTTCATATCCAGAGAAATATAAAAATACGGTATTAGGAGGGAGTTCCCCTAAAGTAGACGACTTGCACAAAATAATAGGTGAATACAACAAAATGCTTTTCTAAAGCCATGCAAAATAACAGTGGCAACCTGCCATGTTGTATGCATACTAGGGAAAATTTTAAGTATTTGTAGATGACATTATTTAGCAGGGAATCCAGGAAAAAAAGATGAAATAGTCCCTACCCTCATGATGGCAGGTACTGCTCTTCCCAGCTCTAGTGAACTGATGGATGCCCCTCCCCCATTAACCAGTAAGCTTATGGGAAAAGTTCATGTCTATGCATGTCATTACCTTTTTATAAGTGGTTTTGAGGATTTATCTTATTGGGCCATTTTACTAATATTGGAGTCACAAATCAAAAAGAATCGTGCAAGACGTCGGCCACGATAAGGAAAAGTTTGGTCTTAATTCTAAGAGCAATGGGAAGCCCCCGAAGTGTTTCTGACATGAGACGGGCTGATCAAATCTGAATTTCAGAGACTGGACTTCTGCATAGGTTAACAGACGGGATGGGGTAACAGAGCAATGCGATCAATTAGAGAATCCAGAATGCACATGTAAAAACGTAACACACGACAAAACAGGTTTAGAGGTCTTAACGTGACTCATTGCCAGACTCCCATAAATTGCCAGATTGCCCGGGAAGCAACGGTAATCCTCACACGAAAATATCCACTAACGAATTAACCATTTATAAAATGAGTCCCTGTCAAACATGCCTCCCAGGATCGCACGGACCTCTACTAGTCCGTTTCACCTTTGCCCTATCAGTCTCCCAATGGCTGGCAGCTACTTCAACTCCTAAGCAATGCAATGCAAATCATCGACAAAGTGAAAGTGGGAGCCTCCTCAAAAACGCAGGCCTCTGGGAGTCACTGAAAGTGCTGAGAACTGGCCCCAACACAGGCACAGCCACTGACAAAAACGAAGGCTTGAGAGGGGCACTGATCAGGAAGGACCATCAGGGAGAGTCCTGGGGTGGTAAGTGCGTTCTGCGTTCTGACCCAGTGGGCGGCTACCCAGGTATGTATATATAGCAGAAGCTCATCAAGCTGTGTGTACACTTGTTATACATTTAGCTGTATGTAAATTATACCTTAATGGGAAAAGAAAAGGAACCAAGTAGGAATGGTCGGTCCTCCTTCCTCAAATTACTGGGTCTGAAGGGGAAGCCTACAAATCCCATAGCCTGCTTGCTCCTGGGGTGCAGATGGAGCGGATAATAACGAGGGCAAACGTACCTGGGTTCCCAAAGACATCGGTGAGCCTATGGACCTAGGAGCCTGCTCCTCCGGCTTCAGTTATAGAGACGGGAACTGTTCTTAACGTCTATGCACTTCAAGTCTGTTACTTGCAGCTGAAAACATTCTACATCCCACAGTTCATACTTGGAGAAGGCTAACAAAGATGGGATAACATGAGGTCAAAAGAAAATAATCTGAACAGAACATCTAAGGAAAGCCCCTGGGCTTTACTAACAAAGCCCTAAACCTTTTGGCAAAAATGGAAGGGGGAAAAAAAAAAAAAAAAGGAAAAGAATGCTTTCTTCAGAATTACACTGGAAAAGTCAAAAGTCCATCATAACATGAACCAGTTTCATGCCATCTTACAATTTTTTAAGAAAAATTATGAGGGGAAAAAAAGCAACCAACACTTGATTCATTCTTCTTCCATTCTAAGAACTGAACACACAGTTGCAACCATAACATGTCTTCATAATTTTGTTTCATTTTTCAAGATTAAACCATTTTTTCAAAATAAAGCCTTTTCTCTCTACCCCTGCTATCTTTGAAATGTTGCTCTTCTAGGTCAATTCATTCTACACAAGCTTGTTCTTACGCTTAATTATTTTCAGAAAATAAAGTCTTTATATGATGGAATCACAAAGAAAAATAAATTATTTACTCAGACATCAATTTTTGGAAAATTCAAATATACCCCTCAGTTCATAAAAGTTAACAATTATAGAGAGGCCCCAGAGCATGCTGGGTAAAAAAGCACAGCCTCAGGAACCACTGTTTACTGGCTGGTGGTCCGGGGGCAAGTCACTGAACCCTCTGTGACTCAGTTTCCTCGCATGTCAGGTGGGGCTACTAACAGTTCCTAATTACACGTTGTTAGGCATGTTAAATGATTAGTATGTAAAGTATTTCAGGCAACAAGTACTTGGTAACTGTTATCTATTATATTTCAAAATCTAAGAAAACTGAGGACTAGAAATGCCAACATTGGAATTAATTTTATTAACGAAGGGAAAACTTTTTAAAACACAGCACATACACTTTAAGTGAAATTAACATAAAGAAAAGTGAGAACAGATGGGTTTATAGTAAAAATGCTAAAAGTTTTATTTCTAAAGATATAAGGATTTTTTTAAATGGGCCATATCAAACTTATTAAACTAAAAACTAATGTGTTGCTGCACTTTACTAAAGATGAAATAAAAAATTTGAATATATGGGAAGAAAAAGGAGTGGAAAGCTCAGTATTGTAACAGGGTCAGGTCCTTCTCCACCCACATCAATCCATTCGCTTAACATGATTCTAATTAAAACTCCAACAGGTTGGGGGTGTCATTTCTTTTTTATTCCATCTTGTTCTAATTGGAAAAAAGGAGTATACAACGAACCTAAAAGAATATCATAAATGAAATAGCAAATACAGTTTTGAAAAATAAGAAAACTGACAGTAACTGCCCTTACGGGATGTTAAAAAATTAGAGTCATTAAAAGAGCGAGGTATTAGCACAGCGCGAGGTGAACCAATGAGTCCAGCAACAGAGCTGGGTGTAGGAATTCAGTACACAGTGAATGCTGCATTTCACATCCATGGGAAAGGACGGATTACTGAACAAGGGACACTGA